ATTTGTCTTTGCAGATGTTCATTGCTTCCATTCACTCGGGAGTCATGATAAAGGCCGAGCTGGATGGAAGGGAGATCTTGACAGCCAAGGAGAGTGCGAACTCCTCCGCTGCCCTGGAAGCTGCCACYACAATGAAGGGCGAACTACTGAAAGCTCGTTCCGAAATGGAAACTCTGAAGGCCAAGGTGGAGGCCGAGCCTCTGCTGCTGAAAAAAGAAGAAGAAAAGCACAATGCCCACCTCCGAGCTGCTCATGCCATTACCAAGGGGTTGGAGAAGGAGAAATTCCAGCTCTTGAAGGAGAAGGACGACCTGGCTGAAGTCCTTGAGGAGAAGGACACTTCCTACCAAGCTCAAGGAGGTGAAGGAACGCCTCACCAACGGAGCTCTCTTGGAGGAAGCGTTCACGCAGCACCCAGACTTTGATGGGTTTGCCAAAGACTTCAGTTATGCGGGCTTCAAGTTCTTAATGAAGGGCATCACTGCCGACATGCCTCATCTTCAGATCGATCTCAACGATCTGAAGAAGAAGTATGCTGAAAAATGGGCCTCTGGGCCTAACAGTACTCCAGGCCCCCAGTCGCTGGTGGAGAAGTACGTCAGGGAACTGGACTCTGACTACTTCGATCTTGAAGARGAAGACGCTCTTAGTSAGGAGCAGGTCGAGGTCGACACTACCCAAGAGGAGGTCCCTTAGCTGCAGGGTGGATCCCAGGAAGTCAACCTTCTGGGCTYCCAGGGTGAGTTGTCCTCTCACCTCGGGAGTAGCTGACGCTTCTGAGCCTTCTTGTTGTTTGTGCTTGTTTGCTGTTTTCTCATTTTTGTACAAGCCACTGGGCAGAGCTACAAGGTATATAAGCCTTGGTTCTTTCCTTTTCTTTTATTGAAATTGTTACTTCTCCAACTATGTGCTTCRCATCTCGTTCTTCTCTCACTTTTTCCTTTAGCTTTTGAACTTACTTTCCTTGAACTTTCTTTTGTAAATTTGAACTCGTATACGAATAATTTCATCTCGCACCTCTAACTCGTAAGTTTAAAGGATTGAGTGTAGGATGAACTCTTTTCACATCAGACCTTTTAGTTATGCGAATTTGAGAGTTTCTTTTACTGATCTTTAATATTTCTCCTCGAACTCGGAAGTCCA